TCTATTCCAGAGAAAAGTTTAGTCTTTCAATTACACTGTCTTGCTTTGTTTCTGTGCAAACACTGCACCTGAAATACAACCTGCTCCTGGTCCATCATCTTCCTGGAGACTGCTTCCTGGGGACAGCACTTTTTGGGTATTCTGTCCCCATAAGCACTTTTGAGGTCCCTCCAGCTGCCAAGCAGCAATGTACACACATCAGCACTGAGTCACCTCTGCCTTATCATCAGTATCAGGAAACAGTTCTCTTTCTGGACATGCTGTACAGCTGTAACAGAAAGTACTCCTGAAAACAGTCCTTAAATGCTCTCAGAGAGGACTTTGTCTCCCTCCAATGATTATTGAGTGCCTACAGGGAATAGCCTCCTAAATTTTTTAAAGAAAGATGGTCCCCTTCAGATTAGAAAAACAGACCTAATCTGAGATCGTCTCAGATGACTTTTTGTGTCTTGTGGGAAGTAGATTTTCACATAACTCTGCACTGACCTTGGTCATGTGCCAAAATACACCTTTGAGGCAGGATGACAAGGTTTAGGCACTTCACTTCTCTTGTATTTGTGACATTCTCTATCCATTAAAGATGTGTGCCTACTATTGACAAAGAAATACTTCCCTCAAGGAAGACCCCTTCAGTGCTGTATGGCTGGTAAAAATACTTTTCTTACATAGACAAGACTTGTTGTTGTTGTTGCTGTTGCTTTTTAATACACACTTATATTAAAACCTGTAAACCTGTACCTGTCTTAGGCTTTTATTTTCCCCAGCATTCAAATAGCTTTTAGATGTGGTCTAAATTTTTCTGCTTTTGTTTCTAAAAATTAATCTGAGAATGTGTGAGCATGAGGGAACATCTTAATGAGGGAATGTCCTCATGTGACACATGTTCCTGAGTTGTACAAAAATGAAAAATAATCTTTCTGCACATCACCTTTTGAGAAGAAGGCAGTTTGGGGTGTTTTTTCTGATAGCCTCAAGATGAGAAGTACTGTAGATTCTCAACAAGGTTATTGCTTTTCAAAAGAATCTCCACTCTGCTGGTGGCTGCAATCATTGTCCCATGATGCATGAATTCATATTTGACTTGTATGTGCTAGAAAATGCTTTGACTGACACAAGTCACAGCTAGAATACACTCTGTGACTTCCAAATAATTAATGCTATTTCTCTCTTGTCTCTGCAGTTGCCAGTTGTAGGGTGTTTTCTTTAGTTTAAAATAGTAAATAAAATATTGGAAGGGACAGAGCCATCAATTGAGCAGTAAGACTCCTGTCAGGAAAACATTTCATTTGAGAGTTTTTCCTCTGACACCAACTTTTGAGGTCTACTGGCTGACCACTTCCTAAGTTGTTACAGCATTGATAATCTGATAGTCTTCAGTCAGACTGTCAGGCATTGCTAAATCAAACTGCCCTGTGCAGAGCTACACAGTAACTCTTATCAGTTAACCCAGCTATGTGATAAAAATCTGTATTTTTTTATTAAACTAAATTTCCATAAAACTGTTACTTGGCACCCCTTATGCTGCCAATCCTGCAGTTTCTTTTAAATTAATCATACACCAGTTCTTCATTGTGCTGTGTCAGATTAACCATTAATTATTTCATTTTTCCTGTGTAACTTCATGTAATAAAAAAATTTAGGGCTACACATAGAGACAGAAACTTTATCATGAGTGATTAGGACTGTCCTTGGTACTTTTGTTGAGTAGAAAAAGGGTTGTTTCTGGCACTACTATATGCCTCTTACGATATGTAAATTCTCATCCACAAACACTCAAGCCCTTGCTGACAAATGGTCCTGACTAATGCCAATAATGCATGTAATATAATTTTTTTAATTATCACAGCAAAAGGACTGAGTTTTTCCACTCTCCTTCTATTCGCAGCCAGTGCCATCCTTGTTATGAGACTGAAAATATCCAAAAGTCTATGTGCAAATTCAAATAGTTTTCCAAAAATAGCATCAATTTTTGGTCACACATGATATGATACTGTCCTAGAAAATTACTCATTTCAAAATGTATCATGAGTGAGATTTCTTAGAGTGTCTTTTTTGCCACAGCAGACAATAAATATGGTCCCAAAAGCAGAGCAGACAAGATGAATGTAGACTTAATTAGCTTGGATGGATGAAAGTGAGGAGGGAGACAGTGAGCAGGTCACCAAAGAAACCCAGTACTTCATGTAAGAGGACAGAAGGGTGCTCAAAGGACAGGTGCTTATCATCTGTTTGAGACACAAAACTGCATAATCACGGCCTTACAGAGAAGCTGTGTGCAACAGGAAAGAAATCTCATGTTGAATGCTAAACGTGATATATTTACCAAGCAGTAGCAAAAGTGAGAATTGGTGTCTGGGCAATTTAGCAGGGAGTGTTGCTGCTGTTGCTGTTGTATGGCTGCAATATGGTGGGAAGTATTGAGAGGCTGCTTTTGTCACCAGGACAATAAATTGAGGGAAGAAAAGTTTTATAAGGAAATTTCAACAATTAGTCTTGATCCAAAAACCCACACAACAGTACCATCTGAAAAGAATGGGAAATACAAATGCACATTGGAGGGAAACAAGGGTCATCATACACTTCATCCCTATTTTAGCAGCACAGTGGAGAGGGTTTGCAAAGAAACCAAGATCTCACATGAGGTTTCTTTTCACAAACAGAGCAGTAATGGTTTTAGGGAAAATGTGTGATACATACTTGACTGAATCATTTATTTCTGTTCCTGAAGGGAATCAGTGTCCACAGCTCAGTCTGCAGAGTTTCTGAACCACCCCTCCTTGTAATTACCATCATTGCCAGAATCCCCCAAAATGCCAGGGACAAACCAGGCTCTGCCATTCTGTCCCTCAAAACCACACACACAGGCACATCATGCAACGATGTTAAATTTCAAGGGTGAAGGGAGATCACTGCCCTGTTGCCAAGAATGAAAAACTCCTGTGGCCAAGAATGAAACTATTCAAAGTAGAAAACAAGAACTGTTCAAGAATTACTGAACAGCTCAGTCCTTCACACTAGTCTCATTTTAAATCAGTTAGGTCAGGTCATAAGGACAACATGTGTAGCAGGAAATGTGTATGATTGTGAAAAGATGCCTATTTGTACAAAGGGTAAGTTTTCCTCATTTTTCCATTTACTAAATAGGTAACAAAATTACTTGTTTAACTCAGCTCTGTCTTCCAGCAGTGCTGTAATTCTTTAATTACTTCTTTGGGGGAAGTTGCTAATAATATCATAACTATTTCACTATCTGGTCTTTCCCATTTGAGAGCACAGAAAGTAAGCTGACTTTTGCTTTTGTCACTTGCTTTCTTAATCACATTCTTTTCTTCCAGTTTTAAAAGGTGATTTGTTTTTAGGGGCAAGTAAGGAAGACAAGTAGCCACTTTTAGGATATTAGAAGGATTTTCTGTTTTCATAAATGGATTTTAAAAGAAAAACCTTACATTTTCAAAAATGCGGGTGCTTGGTTTTGTTAATTTCTTCTGGAAATTTATAGATATTTTATCGAATGCAGCCAAAAACAAATTTATTGAAATACTCAGTTATACTACAAAGAGGGAATACTTGTGCTTTCTAGCCTTCCCAATATTTGTCAATATGAACTGTATCAAGGATCAGGGAGAAGTAAAAATAACATAATTTCACTTTTGTTTAAAATACCTCCTTCTTCCACCTAAACTAATTCCATCAACAAAAGTATTCATCTCGTCACTTCTGAAATAATGTCTGTCCGACAGATTCTTACTCTCTCATTGAGATCATCACAGAGATAAACTGCTGCTTTCATCCACTTCACAAAATCACAAAATACATAACCTGAATTGTTGTGTGCTTTGTAATTTTTTAAATTTCAACATTTACTTCTTTTGCTCTGGACACAACAGGGGGGAAAAAGTGCATGCTGCTTCTATCCATTTTGATCTTGTTCTTTTTAAAGTGTCCATCAGAGAACAGAATTTGAATTCCATTTTATTAATTCCTTTTTATTAACTTTTCTGTTTGTCAAAATTATGATAGGCATTTAGGTAGAGGACAAGAAACTGAGCCTCCAACCACTGTATTTAAACAACTGTCATACATAAAGTCACACAAGGGCTGTTGTATGCATCTCTGCGAACAAATAAAAGCTTGGACCAGAAAATAATCTTGATTACAGCAATCCTTAGGCAAGAGAACAATTACTTTATTTATAGCTAATTAGAGCTTTGTTGTCGTTGCATTTGCCTTTTTAATGTTGGTTGTTGAACATCAGACTAAATCTTTTTAATGTTTATAGGTTCACCTAAAAATTAATTCAAAACAAACAAAGCCCCATAATATTTAAGGAAGAAAATCTATTTATTTCACATGTTTGAGAAGAGTAATCACTGAAGCGATATGCGGAATAAATAAATAGACTCCACAACTCGAGGTAGTTATGAAGTGGGTATGTATTGTCGGCGCCCGGCACAAGTGAGATAACTCTCCGAAATCTTGTGCCCCGAGCTGAAGTTTGCCCCCCGACTTTATTCACAAAGGTGTTCCATATGCAATACATTACACGACTTTTCTATGCATATTCAACTCCTGGCCCCGCCTGTCTTTGCTTCTCATGCTAAATAGGTCTACGCCCTTCTGGGCATGTGTAGTTTTTTGTGAGGGCTTTTATGGGGGTCCCTGGTGGTCTTTGAGGCACAAACCATCATCTTCCTCTGCATTGAACTTTTGAACTCTTCTCCTCTGCGCTTGCGCTTTTGGTCCTTTGCTCTCCTATCTGGATAAGTTCATCATCCTTGACATGTTTGGAGACAGAGGGCTTCCTTGTCTGAAGTCTTGGCATTCTTGGTCCTTTCCGTTATTTGTCTTTTTGCAAGAAGCTTTAGAGATCTTTGTTTTTCTTTCCTATGCCTTTCTGTGCAGAGGTTTCTTAAAATTCAACACATGATTCTACAAACACGATACATTCATTTTTGATATATTCATTTCTGATAATTCATTTTTTATACATTCATTTTTGATACATTCATTTTTGATACATTCATTTTGTTAGTTCAAGTGATCTCTGGAAAATCTTTTGTTTCATCACAAGCAAAGCAAAAGGGCTGTTGTAACGCGCGAGCAGCTCCTCTAACCGCGATACCCCGAGCGGTGGCGTGCTGGGCAGTGAGAGGGAAGAGAAAGGGTGGCCGCTCCCCTTGTGAAGCTCTGCATTCCCAGTTGTCGCCGCGGGGACAGACGGAGGCAACACGGGACTTGGGGGTGAACAGGACGGTTTTATTACGCGAGCCCCAAGACCCTCCGGGGAGGCCGAACAAAGGTTTTATACAGGAACTCAAGAGGAGGGGTATAAGAACCAATGAGGGTAGGGCCTGGGGAGGAGTCTAAGGAGGGACTAGCATAGCACAAACCTATCAGGGGAAACAGGGGAGTGGAATAATACAAAGTAACCAATAGGGTGTTGAGCCTCACTAAATGGACAGGGAATGCTCTGGAAGCAAGGGAGGGGGTGAGGAGGAATGACAGGGAATGTTCTGGGGAAAGGGGGAGGAGAAGGGAGGATTGACAACTTGGAGAGGAGGGGGTTAGGGAAGAGCTTGAGAAGATTGACAACTGAGGGAGGGAGGAGATTAGGGAGGAGGGGTGAACAGACGCTGAACAAATATCAAAATAAAGAAAAATACACCACAACAGGCTGTGTAAGAAGCAGGGTCTGCCAGCAAAACTAAGACCCTAATTCTTTATCAGAGCCACAGTGAAAACAGTTTTGAAATGGATCAGCTGATACCTTAAATAGCAGTTTTCTACCAATCTACCGGTTTTTGTTTTAGGCTCAGTAGCAGCAAAACTCTGTCACTGGGGAGTGTCTGTTACACACAAGAAAGCTAATGTTCATTCATAAACATGCATTTCCCTTCAAGGGTTAGTTCTGATTGTGCTTTCTGATGCAAGTGAGAGTTGGTGACCAGTGACTAAAGGGATGACTGGTGAGAACTCTCAGGTTGTGCTTCACAAAGGAGGGAAAGGAAAGCTTTCCCTTGTACAGAGATTCAAACCTTCACCTCTTTCTCTGGACAGCAGCAGAACTTCCATGGGGTTGTGTAGGTCGGTATAGAGAGGACCCAGCTGACAGAAGCACTGCATACCCCTAACAGAGGACAAAATAAAAATATTGAAATAAAATTTTAATACATAAATATATAAATAAAACAATAAAGAAAACCAAACCCAATGAAAACCCCACTGAACATATATGTTACAAAAAATAAAAAGGAAAACAAATAAACTAAAAAACACAACTCCTCTTTTCCATGGTGCAGATGTTTTCAGGTCTCATCTTTTTGTGTCATGTCTATTTCAGCAGCCCTCCTGTCTCCACACCTAATCTCAGCATGATCCCCTTCATTGGTCTCATTCCACTGTGTTTTCTTCAAATTTTCTTCCCCCTTCCCTTGCATTTTCCTCTTACCCTTTCCAAACTTTCATCTTTTTGCTCTATTTTTTGCTTTGGGCCCTGGCTGATCCAGAGGGACCTTCCATAGACACACCACCGCATTCCCCAATGATTTCCCGAAGTTTCAAGTATCTCTTAAAAAGAAGAAAGTATCCTTTATTTTCAGACTTACTTCGATTTTTGTTTTTTCCTTGCAAAGCGCGGACATGGACGGTGGTGAGGCTGCACTTGCTCTCTCTCCCGCGTCGCCGCCGCGTACCTTATCGTTCCTAACACTATTTTTCCTGCCTATTCGCACGTTGCCGCATTTCTTGCCCCACAGCGAGGCGGCGGGGGTGGTGGTGCAGGATCCCCGAGGATGCGCGCCAGGGGGCGGCAGCGCCGCAGCTCATCCGCGGCTCCCCCCCGCGCCGCCCGATCCCCCGGAGGCATCCCGAGGGATCGCCGCCGGCACAGAGTACGCCACTCTACCTCCACAGGTTGTTTATTTCGACCTTTCTTTTAGTAACAATGCAAGCGATGATTATTAATAATCATATTCATAATGGTAATAACACCAGGTATAGTGTCATATACCATTTGGAGGTTGGTTGTTTGCGGGCAGGGTATTGCATCTCCCCCCGCACCAGATGAGTGAGATGCAGGCATCAATCTGCTCAGGACACTTGAAAGCCAGGCAGAAACTATTGCATCCTGATGAAAACACGATATTAACCTAGCCGGAGGGAGTGGGGGCAGATGCCAAAAAATACAGGTTTTTGTAGTGGTTTCCCCTAACCCTGCAGTTTTTACTTGGTGAAGTTCTCTGGCGGTGGCGGCGTGGACATGGGGTCCCGTTGACAGCTAGGAAGCAGGCGGGGTCTCCATCATCCTGCACTAAAGTTTTCTCTGGATGGTGCTGTATCCCGGCAAACCACAGCAAAGAGAGTTTTCCCCACTGTGGGAGCTGTGTCCCTGCGTTCTGCTCTCCTTCCCGTCCCTTTGGACAATCTGCCCATGAAGTAAAGGTTATTTTTTCTGGAGCAGGAGCAAAGAAGCAACGTGCAGTTATGTCTGGGGGGAAGCTATCCTCGCAGGATGAGTTTCCTCACCTGTTAGGGATTGTGCCTGCAAACTCTTCCTCAAAGCCACTTTGCGTCTGTGACAAAAGTCCTCCCTTCTCACTAGCATCTACCTTTACACAGAATCAGAGGCTTGTGTGCTGCAGGTTACGGGGGTGCCTGCCGACACACAGGGACGCCTAATTCATGCGTTGGGGTGTGACACCTACATGAGGGTTTCAAGTTTGCTCCTACACACAGTTGAATCCCAGCTCCTGTTGGATCCTGGGTCACAGGCCCACGATCACTGTGGGTTGAACTACTCCTTAAGATAATTTCCAACCCCTTGGTCTTTAGCGAGTGTAGTTGTTCATATAGGCGTTAAAAGGGAAAGAAAATTCACTATGTCCCTCCCGACGGCGCGTCCCGGGTCCCAGTGCGCAAGCCGGACTTCCCAGTCGTAGAATTACAGAATCTTAGAATCACGGAATCACAGGATCATAGGATGGTTTGGGTTGGACTCCAGTGGGAGTGGGATCTTATCATATTTTAAACGTGCCAAGCCAAAACGTGTTCAGAACTTCTCGTTTTATTACTTAAGTACATTTTTAAATAACATTCTGCTCAGAGTTTGAAAAGGGAAAAAAAAAAAAAAAAGGACTCAATTTCCAAAGAAATGGAAAACAGGAACAGAAAACTTTCTATCCTAGTTTCTGAGAAATGTTCCATTCTCCACCAGAAAAAGTGTCCCTTCTCCATAACAGAAGTTTTGGCTGAGTAGCACTTGCAGGACTGGAGTCGACTTTGAGCTGTTTAAATAACTAAAGAAAAAATATTACATTTAATATTTACGATGCATTTGAAGTGATTATGTCTGGGGCAGAGGACCACGAGTGTGTCCCGTTTAAAGTCGAACTCTCTTCAGAAAGTGCCACAGTTTTCAGAATGTCCTACTCTTATGGTTAGAAGTCCAGGTGTGCTATTTCACGATGAGAGTTTTGAGAAGAGAAAACCATTAGAGGAAAGACGGAAGTAGAACTAACCATTCCCTTGACCAGATTAATTAAGAAGGATTTTAAGCGCTTCATCTCTGATTGTATGGTTTCAGGTTCTTAGCACAACTTTTTAATCTGATAATTATGTTCCATACAACTGCATGGCTGGAACACTAATAAATTTGGAAATAAACTAGGTTAACTTCAGCAGATTTCCTGTCCCTTCAAAATCCTTTGAGAAGGAGATAATGTATACATAAGTTAAAAAGAGATAAATTTGAGATCTACATTTTAAAACAAGCATCCACGTATCCTTGTAGCTTAAACAACTGGGCCAAATTCTCACTCCTTAAAAATCGGTGCACCAATTTCAATGTCTTTAGAACCAATTTGATGATTTCCTATCTAACAATCTGCTTTTTATCCCCCCTGAATTCTTAGAGTTCTATAGTAGATCATGCATGGGGCTGACCTACCCAGAAAGAACTTAGGTGATTTCTGAAGTCAAAAGCAATTTTCTTTAATCCCTACCACACGCACAAAGCAAACAAACAAACCCCCAAAACCAAAACAACAATAAAAGAAAAAAAGCAAACAAAACAAAAATACCAAAAAAAATCAGCCCCAACCCAAATAACTGGTGGAGAAGAAAACCTGCGCTTGACTGTTTTCAAAAACATGCAGAGAGATGAAAAACCATGGTCCATACGAGAAAGTGAGTACATGTAATTAAAAGCAGTAATGATAAACTGGGTAAGGAGGGGAAAAAAAAAACCTCCAACCACATAAATTCAAGAGTTTCCTTCTTTTTCATCTGCTTCAGGTAAAGATAATGCCAACTCTTCTCATTGTAAAATGAAGTCAGTTCTAATATATTTTAGTTTTTTGTTTTGAAAAAAATAAAATATTTCTGCATTCGTTGAAATAAATTGCATCATTCAAGGATAACAGGAATTCTAACGTGGTCTGGCTTAGCTGCTTCTGTTATATTAATAACTTCATATAAAACCATAATCGGTAGAAACTAAAGACAATTTGTGAACGTTTTATATGATACTCAAAACACTTTTTTCTGTTTATGCTATATTTATTTTCATATTAGTAGAATATATATATATTCTACTAATATAATATATTATATTCTATATATATATAATATATATAGAATATATTTTATATATATAATAATATATTGACATATATAGTGAAATATATATATATATTATTATATATTGAAATATATATATATATATACATAATTCGGTATCATAAACTCAACTTCTTATTACATTATTTGGGCTTTGTGGTATAATATATAAAAGGTATAAACATCCAGAAGTATGTTGAAAAATATCACTGTTGGCCTATTTTCATTCTGCTTAACAAAACTTGCAAAAACCCCACAGAAATCACAGTCTGGTTGACACACTCTGCTCCAAATAACTGTATGGCAAATAATATGTGTCGTCATTGGCATTACAGACGGAAGAAGGCTTGGAATCATGCTATCCTGCATGCAAATCGCGCACAAGTTGTGATGGATGTCGCAGTCACAACCGTGGGGAGGTGCCCGCCCGGTACCGATGCCAACAAATTTGGGAGAATATGACCAGATAAAGGTCCGGTCAATGAACTGCAAAGGCTATCGGTATATCTGCAGCAATGAAAGTTTCGAGGAGGTCCGGATCCAGATAGTGCGACCCCAGACCCTCGGACACAGATGTGGCAGAGGGGGCAGCTGCCGCTCATTGCCCTCCTGCGCCCCGGAGTGCCGAGCACCGCCGGCTATTCAGCAGCAGCGCTCAGCAATGTTCTTCACGGGGGCTGGCCGCCAGCAGAGCCCATCTTCCCCAAGAAGACTCTTCCCCATGCCCTCTGTCCCCTCCAGCCCCGATGCTGACCTCCCAGAGGCCTCTTAAATTTACCATCGGCCTCGGTAGGAATAGCGTTCCTCATACCGACAGCTGGGGGTGGCGCGGGAGGCGATGCACGGCGCGGGGAGGGCCATGCCCACCCCTCGTACCCGAGCCCCATGGGACGTGAGCACGCCTCTCCCTCTCTTGGCCCAATCTCGAGTACCCCTGAGGCCTACAGGCTAAGCCCCGACTCCTCACCCCTCCTGGCGGGAGGAAAGCCCCCTCGAAAGACGTTTCCCCGCTCCCGACGGCTGTCTGTCTTGGGGGTGAGGGGGGTGGGGGGGGACGGGGGAGGCAAGTGGGTGGGAAATACCGCGGCAAAGCGGGGGAGTGAGACAGCCACGCCGCAGTCCGGTGTGGGGCAACCTTCGTGGCCGCCCTCTTCTCTCCAAAAGCAACCTGCCCCTCCTTCCCCCCTTCTTCCTTTCTTCCCGCCCGTCCGAGAGGGACTGGGCTGGAGAAGCCTCTCCTGACATCCCTGCGAATATTGCTGCAGAACGGAGTCCGCACGGTGAGTACCGGAACGGGCAGACCCCGCTGAGGGATGTGGGGCGAGCTCGGAGCGGTCCTGCCGTGCCGTGCCACCACCAAGCGGGAAAAGTGTGTCCGGGATTGAAGGCAAGGCAGGGAAGCCCTCCTGCTCCCCGTCCTCTCTCAGATCTCCACGTCCCTGCCTTCCGAAATAACTCGCGATGGGAAAGTTGGAGTCCGGGCCGAACGGAAAGAGGGGGGCGATCCAGGAAGGCATCCCTTCTGGGTGGAGGGATTCCCTGCGCCGCACCCCTTTTCTCCTTAGCATCCTCCTGCCCTCTAATTTCTTGCCGTCAGTGACGAATTTTACTCACGTGCAGAGAAGCTATTGGATATCAAACCTGGTTAGCTGATGTGGGCCCACGGGCCAATGGGCCCTGTTGAATACACGCGCGGGAGACGGCGGCGTACCTGCACCGTACTGTCTGTGCCCTGAGTATCGCACCCCACAGGCATGGGAGTTAGGGGGCGGACACAGGCCGTCGAGTGTTCCTCAGGATGAAATCAAAATCAGTGGTGCTGGAATGAGGTGGTGGGCGCATTCCAGTGATTGCTCGGGGTGTGCCGGACTGTACAGGAAAAGGATGGGGAACAGCCTGCGCCTGCGCCTGTACAGGTTTGTGTACAGGTCTGTCTTCTCCCGCTCAACGTCCTCTTGGGGGTGAAAAAGGAGATCTGATGTCCTGTAAGGGTTGAGGGAGGTGTGGTGACAGCCTTACATCCCGCTTTAAAACCGTGTTTTCCCGTCAGACCTCCGCAGCTCCCACAGCGTGGCAATAGAACACAGTCTGGCATCACCTTAGCTCTGTTTCTTGATTCCCCTGTTGCTACTGAAAAGATGGAGAAGAAAACAGGAGAGGAAGTGGGCCATCATGGCAAGGGGTTCTGCGTCTCTGTCCTGGTCAATGTCCCCGGTGTAGGATGGGCTGCCCGATAAGCTCTGCTCCCGATGCTCAGCTCGGGAGATGCGCTGGGAGAGCTCTGAAACATTTTGACAACAGGCGTTTAAGCACCCAGACTGCGAGGTTTTAATGAGGATGCTGGTGTCCCAGCTAGGCGGATTGGTGTTCCGGCAGCATTGGAATCGGCGCCAGCAGCACTGTCCATCTGTCCGTCCATTCGTCTGCAAGGCACTGCACAGAGGGGAGACGCGGTGGGAGTGGGACAAGAATTGCAATATGTGCACAGGGCAAAAAAGAGCGAAAACCGTTGTTTTGGTGTCAAAACAGTCATCGCATTTTGAGGTGGTACCAGAACAGAAGGACAACATCCTTCCCAGAAGGATAAACGTACAAAGGCCACCACCATGTCTTCTTTCCTAGAACCCCATCCATTCTGTCGTGGCTTTTAATCTTTATTTTTCCACTGCCTGTAGTGAAAGCGACCCTCAGATAATCTGATCGGACCTTTGGCTGAGATGCCTATGCTAAGAGAAATAACTCGAAATTGTTATCCTATTGAAGGGCAGTGAAGTTTGCACTCGGGTTTTGCTATGTGATAGATGTAGCCCAGTTTTGTGTATTTCCCTCCGTGTGCATCGCTGGTGCCATCAGCACAGGCAGCACGGCAGGTAAAACACGCGAGGGGAAGACATGCCGCGCGTGATTTTGCAACTGTATTTAGCAGCGACGCTGCTTTTAAATTTAAGTATTTTGTGGACATAAACCCAAAGCGCCTACTGGGAAAAAGAATTAAAAAAAACCCAAACAACTTTAAAAAACCGCCAACACACAACACATCATGTTCTTATTATATATATATTTTTTTTTTTTTTTTTTTTCTGAAAACATTTCCTGGAGGTGAAGAAGAAACGTCCTATGAGAGACAGGCAGAGTTCCTCTTCTGTCTGTCCAAAGCCTGTTGAGATATGAGAAGACCACAAATTCCTAACAGGAGATGTAAAAAATCAATCATAGAAACACATCGTCTTGGAGAAAGTTCGGCTAATGAGCTACCAAAATCGAAAAGAAACCGGAAAAATAAACCAAAAAAAACAAACCTGAAGAAGACGGGGCGCTTAATCCAATCAAACACGGCCTCTAACTTTCCGGGAGTACATATTTTTATATTTTTCCTGACGGTCTACTGCGTTTAGAGCTCTTCCCTACCATTGCCTCGCGTAAGAATTGCATTTCTGTAACACCAAACCTTTCGTTTTTATTACTTTTATTAAAAAGAGGAAGGGAAAATCGAAGGAAGATAACAGCCTGCTACGATCAGCTAACAAGAGCTTCGGAGAAAAAGGTCTTTCCACGCAACAGACGTACAAATTCAATAAAGAACGGAGGGCCATTCTGCAGGGAAGAATACTAAAATATTGTTGTTCCCTGAGATATTGCAGCTCCTCCCCCCGCCCCCTGCGTTTCGTAACCCCGACTTCTCTTCAAACAGGCACCCACAGACCGACACCGTATTTTGATTGCGGCAAACAATATACGAAACGCAGTGTAGAGAGAGGAAGGAGACGACGATTACTACACCCCACCTGCTGTGGGGTCGAGGAGTAGAGACGGGACGGAGAGACGAGAATATTGCCTGCCACCAGAGGGATGCTCTACCTGCAGAGCATGCTTCTTCCTGCTAGGTATCTCTCTATAGTTTTGTGGGTTTTAGTACCACTTTATTTTTTTTTTTTATTTTTATTTTAAAAATTTTGTGGGAGTGGAGTCCATACAGGGCAGTCAGGGGTGTCATTAGGACAGCGCTGAAAGGAGACGGGAAAGAGAGAGATAACAGTGCATTCTAAACACGGTCTTTCCGTTGAGTTGTTTACACCTAGGTATAAACTGAATACTCAAATAAAAGAACAGAAATGGCATTGAAAAATTTGGTTCATTCCTCTTCAGCCTGTGCCGCAAACCAAAACCATGCTTTGTACAGAGTCGGCTGCGCTGGCCTGTCATCTCGGGCTGGAGCTGAAGTTGGCATTCTGCATGTTCGCTAAAACAGACCTAACAAAGTGTTTGCTGTACTTCAACCTCTGGAAACCTTAACATTTAGTGATCACATTAATAATTCTGGATGAAAGAAATACAACTTCCAACACCTCTTCTGCTGCTCCTCTTGATTTCTGCCTTTGTACCTCTAATAAGGAGAACTGTTCTTAACCACAAAAAAAAAAAAAAAAAAAAAAAAGTAATTGGCTTTTTATTATTATTTCCAGAGGAGGTACACATTGAGGGTGTACATGTGCTGGATGCTTGTGTGTAAAAAAAAAAAAAAAAAAAAAAAAAAAAAAAAAAAAAGAAAAAAGTTCCTGAGTTCCTGTGTAAGCACAGATAAAACTCTGGTTTCTTTTTTTAATTTTATTTTTTTTTATCTGCGCAGATAAAATTCTGGGTTTGGTTTTTTTTTTCTCTTACAGGAAAAAAATGTCATGCCAAACTTCAATTATTTCACCAAATATTATCTGTTTGACGTTCTACATTTTTTCATTTCAGTATTTCCGTCTTGCAAAGGAAACAAAAAAGTAAGAACAACACGATAAGTAAATAGAAAAGGAAAGAGAAAAGAAAAAGAAAATTAGAAAATACTTGTACTATACCCACAGTACCTGCCCCTTCACTTTTCTAAAAAATAATGCTTATATGTAGAACACTATGCAGTTCGGATTATTTACATATAGTACAAAAAGACAGGGATAAAAAGAGGTGGGAGAAAATTTAAGTGCAAAATGCTGAGAGAAGGATAGGTATTAAATGCACTGGTGGGGAGGGAAAAAGGTATGAAAGGAGAAAATGAATGAAAATATGGAGAAAATGATTTACTTCAGGTGTTTGTTATTTACAACCCAGCAGTCTGTCTCATGCAGCCACCCCCCCAAATCAACATGATTAGCGCTGTTATGTATTCATTTATTTATCCATCCTTGGACAGTAATCCAAGAAATCGCCAACGTCGGTGGCATTTTAGTCACCTTGGATGATCCGTGCAGATGCGCAGCGGAACATAGGCACCACTGGTTTTAGCGGTAAATCCGATATTAGGCAATGTGTATGCGGGGCGGCTGAGGAGGGGCAGGGGCTGTATTTATTGCTCCTACTCCACCAGTCATGTTTAAGTGTCAAGTGGGATGAGAGGGGACACGTAGCTCTCCCCATGCTGCCCGTGGTCCCGGCAGAGGTGCAGGCAGGGCGAGGAAGGGGTGCGCTGCCACCCTTCCAGCTCCAGGGTTATACAAAAGAGACCGCTGCGATTCGCGGGGCCGCTGTGCGGTGAAGTGGGGCGAGGAGGGGAAAGGAGGGGGAGGGAAGCTGGGAGGCGGACCCCCAGCATCCCGGCGGGGGGCTGGTCCAGGGGGGAGGCGGCTGCTGCCCCCGTCCCGTCGGGACTGCAGCGAGGGCCGATGTAAGCTGCCGTGGGGTGTGGGGGACGATGCGCGGTGCGCTGCAGGGACTGACAGACGGACAGAGCCACGCTCACTTTTGGCTGGCTCCCGCACACGCTGATGCGGCTCCGCCAGGGAGCGGCAGCGGCACGGGAGCCCGCGTGTGCTCTTTAAAAGAAGGAGATGGGCGGGGAATGGGCTGAATCCCCGGCAGCCGCTATTGGTAAAAGTGTGTAGGAATTGTGCTTTCTTAATGGATTGATTCTATATGCGGTAAGGTAAGAGCTAATCTGATGGATGAACGTGTCAATTTCCGTTTTGGGAGAGTATTATTTTTTTACACGTTTTATGTGTAGGCACATGGCTGTTTTTACTGGGTGACATGTCAGCGTAGGGCTTACAAAACTGGAGAGAGAGTGACGGAAATAACGTTATAAACGATGAAGAATTAAAATATACTGTGGTGAAGCGGGCACAGGGTAAGAGACCCTCCAATCTTTATTTAAAAAAATACATGCATAACTGTCTTTGGGGAGGGCTAACTTTTGCTCGATATGTCCATTCACGTACATCATTCATAATCTACTCATGCACTTGGGCTTTCGAACAAGAAAAAAAATAGTATGCACGGCCTATTTTTTTTAGTGGAAATACGTTATTCGTTTAAAAACAATATTTCTGGACTATAAAAACACAGCAATCTTCTGGTTTTATTATTTAAACTACTCTTCTTTCTTTTCATTATGCGTTAAGATAAACTGAAAAGTGCTACCTGTGATTGTAATATAATTCAAGTCCTATGGATTTCCAGATAAAGCAAGCGTAAGGCTGCAAGCGGTATTAAAAAAAAAAAAATCTAAACGCTCGTTCTATGAAGAATTGGGTAATGGATTTAAAAATGTACATGTTAGAAACCGTATGTCACACATTTAATAATTCAGCACCTAAGACAGAAATTACAAAACTCCTTCCTCGGAGAGAGCTCCCCACATCTGACTCTGCATATTTTAAGTAAGAATTTTGAAATAAATTATTAGTGAAATAAAGGCTGATACAAGTGCACTTAGAGGCCGTAAAACAGCAATGAAATATTTTAAATCCATTTAAACTACCCCTATTACACCCCTTATCTATATTGCCTTATACCTTAAAATGGGGCAGAAGGGGAGGAGTGTATTAGTCATTTCTAAAACTTGGTTTTCTTAATATGAAGTTACTTAGACAATCAACTTCCAGTAGTGTGAGCAGAGTAGCAAGACCCTCCAGCCTTTTAAATCTCCAATAAACATCTCGTGCACTTTGATTTGTGAAACTAGCACTGTTCATAATCTGTAATCTTATACAGAATAGAAACATGGAGGAAACTGGATATAAAGACACATACACTGCAGAGTCTCACCAAAACACAGGGAAATAGGAGTGGGGTGGGGGAAAGGACAAGTATATTCAAAGAAATAGAAAGGAGGGAGGAAAGGACAAGTGGTAGGCTGCAATTTCTAGTAATTTAAAAACAATGCAAATATACCTTATACTTGCATCAGTATTAAAAGTAACACGCGCTGGAGCCAACAGGAGCAGGAGGAGGAGAACAGAATGGCGCAGCGGTGGATTCCGGTTCACACACAGCGGCCGCCTGAGCCCATAAGGGCTCTTCTGCGCGCCACAGCTCGGCCCTGACCGCTCATTTCGGGGATATTTGTTTGGTTGATAATGATGATGATATTTGGAAGAAAAGGGGAGGCCCCTCTAATTCCCGCTGATTAGCATCTTCGCAAACAGGGCCGATCGCTCCCAGAATCCGCGGTCTCTTCTCCGAACAGGATTTGCATATTCTTTTCTTCTTCTTTTTTTTTTTTTTTTTCCTTATGCCCTATTTTCGCTAATGTGTAAACGGATGTGCAGCCTTCAGCTGACGTAAATAGACGCGACCTCTCCGCTAAGCCTTGAACGTGAAGAGGGGATGGGGGGGACCTGGGGGGAAGGCGCAGCCGCGGAGATGCTCCGCGCTGTTCCGCAGGCGCGCAGGCTCCCGCCCCCACTCTACCCCATGAAATAAGCTCTAGCAGCAGGAGCAGCGCTGCCCAGCCCAGCGCTTGGCCTCAAAAAGAAAGCCGATCTCACCGCAGCACTGCAGAGTCCATCCAGCCTTTTCTATCTTTTTTCTTTCAGTTTTTCTTATAGATATATATATGTAGTAATATTAACAGTAGTGGTGGTATTTGGACGTTATTTGCGGCTTCTTTTCATCAGAAGACGAGC